ATCACACACACAATCCAAAAGCATTACATTAGTTGGGTACGCTTCAAATTATTTCATCACGTCATCATTTAAAAACGAAGCCCAACATCATTTTCTATGCAAAAATGTATACAAAATATTGTCTTATTTACCTGAGCTATATTCTTTGCTCAGGATGCATATGAAAGGAAAAGATTAATATCCTGGTAGCGTTGCATTCTCAAGTACTGCCTCCGGCTATAAATATAAGAATTAGTAGTTAGGGATGTTAAATATAAAATCCTAATCTATTATGCCTCTCAAATTTATAATGTGTTTTAAAAAATGTTTTTATTGATTATAAAGTTTTTCTACCCAAGTGTAGTTTCAATATACATGATTGAATGGGGGTAATATAAAGAAATCAACACATATTTGTTATAAATAATTAATTTATTTTCTTATTCTGTCCAAAATAATTATCTAGCTCTTATCTTAAAAACTGAAGATAGTACCATGAGATTTTTATTCTTACGTACTCATTATAATACAAAAGCTAGTTGTAAATCCAATTTAAATATCCCAATCCATTTTTCTTTTATATCCATCTATTTCACCCTAAGTAATCTATATAGTGATTGTGCATGTTAAAAAATTTTATTTAAAAAATAATTCTAGTACACAAGATTAACAAAAATATTTGAAGAAATATAACACATATTTATTACAGATAATGAATTTAACTAATTTTATTAATATTTACGAATTAGTCATATAATGTTTATATTAAAAACAGAAATTAGTATTAAGGATTGAAATTCACGTCAAGGTGACATAACAAAGTCAAAACCTTAAGCGATGTGAAGTGAACAACACATTGTGTGTGTGTGGGTGTGGGTATCACGTGAAATGCATTCCAAAAAAAAAAAAAAGTGACATGGTAAATATATGAAATATACGTGATGTTGGTGAGATGGTTGAGAAGGAGAAGGAAACGATCGATCTGTGATCTCGTCGACATAGCAATGCATAGGAATCACGTTGAGAATTGGGAGGGGGCAGCGGCTACAGAGACGAGGCTGTGTTCCCATTTCTGGCCTCTCACTTTTGTATTCGTTGGCGTGCAAAGGATCCCGCCACGTAATCGCATCTGGGACCCACGACTCCTTGACTCTTGACTCTGCCGCCACACGAACGGGACCCGGTTTTAATCCACAACGGAGACTCACTTCCTTTCATTTTCACTTTGACTCAGTCCACCTCCTCTTCCCTCTTCCCATATTTTCGCATTCCCACAAAAAACATATAAATAAATAAATAAATAAAAGAGCAACAAGTTGGGTCCAAAATTAACTTCCAATTATGACATAATTGAGTTTTGTGCCTTCGTGTATAGTTAAAACAGTGAAGAAATTATCATCGATTGCTTAAGGTCCAGGATATTAGATTGCTTAGGCTACACTGTAAAATGACACAGAAACGCAATTTTTCTTTAGTGCATGTTCCTGTCACTCCCACTTTTGTATCGATCTTTTTGAGCTTCCACCAAAATCAAATTAAAATTTGAAATTTGACCCCAAACAAATAATGTTATCTCTCTTTTATTTTGTTGGCTTAAATAACGACTCTTTTCATTCCATTTTCGTATAAATGAACAACTGCAATCAAGAATAACTTTCAAAAGCTGTGTAAAATTATGACTTTTAACTAAATTTAATTAATTTCTTAACCTCGTAAAATAATTAATAAAATTTTATTAAAAAGGGTAGGAGGGAGTAATGTCTGAATAAGCCACTTCATTCAAGGTCAAAAAAAGAATAAGCGACTACGTTTGCAATATGATGCATGCTTTCATCAAATATTAAGCTAAATCAACGAGATAACGTCAAGCTTTTTGACAAGGCAGGGATTCAATGAACTTGTCATAATAAATATAAATAGTTTAATGCAAGTATTTTTCTTCTGAAAATATAATGGCTGATGAAAACAGAGTAAGAATTTAATAACTAAAATAACAATTTTATATTGATAATAATTCTCCAGCTAGAGGAAGAGATCATCTGACCCGTTAGCTATGAAATTTTTATTCATTAAATATGTTTAAGATCAGAAAACAACTTGATGATCTGAAAAAAAAAATGACTAGAATAACACGATGGTCGCAAACTTTTTGTATTTCGGCCCAGTTAGGCCCATTTGTGCTAAAAGAGCCCAATACACAGTTTTTAAATAGCCGAAAGCCCATGCTTTTTCAGACTGGCCCAACAAAAATATTCATGGCTGAGCGAATTAACCGTCCGTCACTTGCCTTGGGGAAAAGAATTTTGAATAACCAACAAAGTTTGGGTTTAATAGAAAGAAGTCAAGAACTTGTCTCTTATAACATAACGAACCAATACTCTAATTCCTGCTAGAAGAGATGCCTACACTTAGTACTCGATACTGTCTCGAATAGGATTGCCTTTAATAGGAGAATAACGATACTTTAGCAAAAAAAAAAAAAGAATAAAATATAAATAGTATATGAATTAATAGGGTTGAATTTAGCAAAAAAGGCCGGTCTCTTACAATGTGCTGAACCAAAACTTAAATCTCCGGTGAGAGAAGCGCTTATGTTTAGTGTGCAATAGTATCTCAAACAGGATTGATTCCAATAAAAAGATATCTATACCTCAGTATAAAAAAAAAAAGTATATGAAGCAAAGCTTAAGTGAGAAATTTTTATATCAAAATACTCATACGGATTACAAAATACAAGAAGATGCCTCTTTGAACACTAAGCACAAATATTATTTTTGAGATATTTCCTCATATCTCACGTTAAGTTTATATAGTATTCTCATAATTAAACCAGGATATCCAACTTTTTTTAATTAAAATCACATTTAACTTCACCATCTCGTCCTACATTTTTAATGATGATAAATGACACAATTTATTCAAGGCTCTATGCAAATTATAGAGCCTATATGTTATACTAGTGGTAGTGGGTAATAATATACAAACGGCACCAATCCTTTTTTTTTTTTTTTTGAAAAAAAAGTTTCTATCAACTTTGTTATTGGCCGGTTCACCCATAATTAACAGCATTGTTCAATATCTGCGGGGGAGTATGTGGGGAAAGCTAAAAGGCAAGACTTAAATTGATCCAATGTTTCCTCATTCCAAAGCTAATCACCACCAAACATTGCATTTTTCCTTCTTCTAGTCCACTCACCTTAATCTAATGTCCCTTTGTCGCTTTGTCCTCCTCTTTTTTGTTATTATTATTTTAAAAACGGACCCACTAGATCATGACCTTCTTTTTTTTTCCAATTTTTTTCTTAAAAGAACGCATTGATATCGTCGTCCTAATACAATAACTCCTCTTTTTGCATGCAAATCTCTCTCTCTCTTCCTCCGTTTTTTCTTTTTGGGTTTTAAAATGGCGACCCACATGACTGTCCTGGCTTCTCATTTTTGTTTTGAAGACTTTTTAGCCATTCTAGTAGTTTTAAGGAATAAGAAATGCAATCCACCCTTGCCTGAAAGGTACACAACAGTTGTGTTTATAATGAGATAGGAATAATAAATAAAAGAATAAATAAAAGGAAGGACCAAAATTGAAGGTCAAAGCAGTCAGAGTACGAGACAGAAGGGAGGGAGAGTGGTTATTCAAGGTAGTGGGGATAAGATCATTAGGTTTGGCTAGGAGCCTCTTTTGATTGTCATACTCATAATGTCATGAGCGTAATTAATCCTAATCACACTCATAATCACTAATTAAATCAAAGTCACTTTCACGAAGATAAGCCGTGGGCTTCATTTTGCTTCCATCCCCTCTCCTCACTTCCCCTTTATTCCATTTCACATTTAGGTGTGTTAGGTCGACAGCTCATAACCTCCTTTCCCATAACTCCCACTCCCCACCCCCTCCGAAATAAAAAAACAAAACTCCTAATATGTATCACACTCTATTTTTTTTTCACTAGAAAAATATTAATTTTTATTCAGTACTCCAAAATGTTTTTTCATCTGTGTCTGCCTAATACCCTAAAATATTTTATACTATGATTTTACTTTTAAAGTTTTAAAACGTTAAGCATCTTTGAAAAATACTTTAAGATGTTGGATGAATCGCAAAATATTTTAAGATGCTGAACGTATATGAAAAAAATATTTTAAAGCAGTGAATGAACCTTTAAAAAAAATAAAATTAATTAATTTTGTGATGTGAGTTTTTTAAAATTATAAAAATATGTAACTGATCCTAATCTCACAGTCATGATCATGCCCTACACAAAAGACTTGGTCTTGCTTCAATAATATTATATGCCAATTAAGACTAAGTCATCAATATAAACCAAACAAGGAGTACACAACTAGGGGATGAAATAAGTATCAACATGATATAGAATGAATTAAAATAGGAGTTATTGGCACATGGGACAGAGAGAGGAGTGGATGTCGAAATAAATGAGGAGGGAGAAAGATCAAAATCAACACTTTTTGACATTATGTTGCCATTACAACCAAAAAGGCCTTAGTTCTCTCGATGAATATAAACACAGGTCACCTTCCACTACATTTGCATTCCCCGGTTCACAAAAATATTTACCTCAACATCATTAAATCACAATTTGATAGTTAATATCTTTTAATTGAAGCTTAATTCAGGGATTAAATCCCACCTTCCATCCATATTTTACACACAGAAAATTAAAAAGCGGACCATTTGCACCATAGTGAATTAATTTATTTATTGGACACCCCACAGGGAAGAGAAAAGCCATCAAGTGGTCCATCATATTTCTAAGCTCCTTCACTATAGAACCAACGTGTCCAGCTTTTGTGTGGGCCCTGTGCGCCTATTATCCCAGCCAGGATAGAATTCCGAAATTCCCAAATACTTTGGTCAGAATAATTGCCAAGTGTCGCAGCACAGGAAGGTCACTTTGGGAACACAAAAATCTCCTCTTATGGCGCTGCCATCATGCAAATTCTTACCTTCTTTTATTTTTATTTTATTTTTTATTGTGGAGCAGCGACTTGTCATTTTGTATTCTGTGGAGAGTATTAACTGTATTACCAGATTTATTTATTTTCTCTTTCTTTCGTACGGTTCAATGTTAATTGATGCTGCATTTCAAAGCTCAAGGCTCAAGCCTACTGTGTTGCTTTCTTCCTTCTTTCCATTTGATTCTTTTCTCTCTAGTTGGTTCTTGGAATCTCATTCAAAAGTGTTGGATTCCTTCTCACTGGCACTCCTACGCTTCAGGTTCTGAGCTTCAATCCCATGTGGCCAACCTCGCAGAACACTTTAACTGCTTCAACTTTTTTTTATCTCTTGGATTAACTGGTACTTCCTGGCCCGGAGTCTCTTAATCGTGTTTTGGCAACAAAAAAAAAGCTCTTTTTGCAGGTCAACTTCTTTTTAAAATTGTTTCGATCTGTAAGTCTGTTCTGTTCCTTGATGAGTGTACTTTGTATTGGGTATTTGAATTGGTATGCGGATGCTTGCGTGGGCTGGTTCTCTTTTCGTATTTCCCTGTTTGGTTGCCGAGAAAAAGAGCTGGGTACTATGAAAGCAGAGGAAAGAGAAATGTTTGCTGCATTTGCCCAAATGGCTGTTTTGTTCTCAGTAGGAATTCATCCACGGTTCGAACCAATTTCCATCAATCTGATCTTCGTTCTCTGCTCCTATGTTTCTCTTTTTCTGTTTTCTAACTGGAAAATCTTTGTCGAGTAGATAACAGATCAGGCGTCGAGAAATCCTCATTAACTTCAGCTAGGTAGCATATCAAACTGCTTTCCTTTTCGTTCTGCCCATTCTGCTAAATTCCTGTCTCGAGATCTTTGCAGAGAAATCCTTTGTTCTCTTGTATATATGTGTTTTCAATGGGATTGACTTTTGAATAGGCATGGAATAGTCACGTTGAATCATTCGTATCTGATTTGTTTAGTGTTCAACATAGGAACACATATTTGCAGTCAAAATTTTCAACCCGAGACTTTTATAGTATGAATGCCGTATAGTTCTTCTGAGCACATTTTCTCATGTTGAGGCATATAAGCTCTTTGAATGGCTCATGAAAAGCGGACCCCAAACCAAAGCAATCGTCTACAGTTGACCGCTTAATATTCAATTCAATAAACCAAGCACCACGGAAAGCTAAATATTTCGCACCTTGTGCTATGTCTGATAAATGATATGCCTTTTGGCAGGTGTGTGAATGGATGGGATTATCGATAAGGAATAAGCAGTCAAATCAAAAGCAAAACGCGAGAAAGAGGAGATGAGGGAGGAATCAACCGGACTGATCATTGGGATTTCTATTGGCGTAGTTATTGGTGTCGTTTTGGCTATTTCTGCACTTTTCTGTGTCAGATACCATAGGAAGCGATCGCAGATTGGGAGTAGCAGTTCACGGAGGGCGGCTACGATACCCATCCGTACAAATGGAGCTGATTCTTGTACCGTTCTATCGGACTCAACCTTAGGCCCAGAATCTCCTGTTAAGTCGGGACGAAATGGCATGTCCTTCTGGTTTGATGGCTTCAAGAGAAACAACGTCGTTTCAGCTTCTGGAATACCAGAGTATCCTTACAAGTATGTGTTTCTTACAAGGTTTTTGCATCATGTTCCTCGTATTTCTCATACCAAGAAGAATTAATCCCGCACCTGTCTTGTCTAGAGCATGAAATAGTTGATCCGGCACTTCTGGGATTTTGATGTTTCTCGTTAATTGTTTCCTCATTTTCACTTCAGGGATTTGCAGAAGGCGACCTGTAATTTTACAACACTTATAGGACAAGGTGCATTTGGTCCCGTTTATAAAGCTCACATGTCCACTGGCGAGACCGTTGCAGTTAAAGTTCTTGCAACTAATTCTAAGCAAGGAGAACGAGAATTCCATACAGAGGTGGAGTTAATTACCATTAACTTCTATTTACTTCGCAGGTCGCCCTCCACCAAAAAAGCAGCCTTTTGTGAGGTTCTCACATGGCCTACTTTTCTGTATGTTGTTGAATGAATGATCGTCAGGTTATGTTGTTGGGAAGGCTGCATCATAGGAACCTTGTTAATTTGGTTGGATATTGCGCAGAGAAGGGACAACATATGCTTGTATATGTCTATATGAGCAAAGGCAGCTTGGCTTCCCACCTGTACAGTACGTTATCCTCCTAACCCATTTTGTGCTTCATATTTTATCAGTTCAAGAAAGTGAAAAAAGGAAAAGAAGGAAGCTTCAATGCACTATTCTTGACTCTATATCCAGGTAAGGAGAACGGAGCAATGAGCTGGGATTTGAGAGTTCACATTGCTCTAGATATAGCGAGAGGCTTGGAGTATCTTCATGATGGGGTAGGTCCATTATTCCCCACTGATTGAGCTGCATTAATCCGTGCATTTTGTTATATAACTCTTCATAATTCCATGTGATGTGACTTCAGGCAGTTCCTCCGGTAATCCACCGAGATATCAAGTCCTCAAACATTTTGCTAGACCAGTCCATGAGAGCCAGGGTAAGTCTTCTTGTAAACTACTACGTGCGTTTCTCTTATGTGAAATTCTGTGCTTCTAATTCTGACGAATGAATGGAGCAGGTTGCTGATTTTGGACTCTCAAGAGAAGAGAAGGTGGACAAGCACGCAGCCATCCGGGGCACTTTTGGGTATCTAGACCCAGAGTACATATCCTCAGGAACATTCACCAAGAAAAGTGACGTGTACAGTTATGGAGTTTTGCTTTTTGAACTCATAGCAGCCAGAAATCCTCAACAAGGTCTTATGGAATTAGTTGAGCTAGTAAGATCACTCACCCTCTCTCTCTCTCTCTCTATATATATATATATAAATCTTTATTTCTGAGGGTAATGGAGGGTGTTAATGGATGAGGACAGGCTTCAATGAACAGTGAGGGGAAAATGGGGTGGGAGGAGATAGTGGACTCTGCATTAGAAGGGGAATATGATGCAGAGGAGCTGAATGAAGTAGCAGGGCTCGCATACAAATGCATAAACCGGGCACCAAGGAAGCGACCTTCCATGAGAGACGTGGTTCAAGTACTCACGAGGATCCTTAAAACCAGAAACTCTAAAAACCGTCGCAGGGCAGATGAAGTGTGCATTGATGTGGATCAGGCTGAAGCAAGGATTCATCGCAGAGAAGAATCTATGGACAGTGCAGCTGACACCTATGAAGTGTAGAATAACATTGCTCTTAACTTCTTCTCAGTTTTGGGTTTTTCTGTTATATATATAATGTCCTAGGTGAGTCTGATTTTGGTTTTCCATGAGAGTCTTGATAATGCCTGGCATTATCATCTGCAATTTCCTGTTTGTAACATGTTTCTTTTTTGTGAATTTTGTTTCTTTTATCTCCTTTTCAGTTGTTCCTACATCCTGGAATTTGTATATTACTTCATGAGTGCAAGTGAAAAGGTAGGGAGGGGGGTGGATGGAACTAGAAAGGTTCCGGGCCCACCAGATGGCCATACCTCATGCTCTGATTTCCCTTTCCATGGATTGCTTCTGCATCAATCCAGAGTGGTGGAGTTGATTGTGCAAATTCCTTTTAGGCTTTGTAAAATTACTTAACACCTAAAATGTTTTTTTTTTAATTTAGAGAATATCTACTGCCTTCCGTAATGTTTCTTCTCTATTAAAACAAAACCTTTAAAATTTCCTTCTAAAAGAAACCTTTTTGCATTATATATAAATATCGATTAAGAAAATTGTTTATTTGTTTTTGTTAAATTTTAAAATGACAAAGCGTATCACTTTCCTTACACAAATTTAAATTAATAAGCAAGCAGACATCACGAAAACATAATCACAACAGGATTGGGGGGCTAAAAATCCTTTTAATCAAGGACGGAACTTTTATGGCTTGACCTTGAGAGTTGAGAAGGAGCGCATTTTGTTAAAAGATCATAAATATGATCAATAAAAATGTTTTATAATATAGTAGTAAATTAACTTTAAAAGCATCAAGTTATACTCCTCCGGTTCTTAATATAGAACATAATTATTGAGTTAATTTTTGTTCTAAATATAAAAAATGTTTTTTATATTATCAATTTTTTCTTAATTATCCTCATGGATACTCTTTCAACCATCTTCAAATAGAAGAGGGAGAAAGGATATTAAGAAAGATGATAATAGTATTTAAAAAAAAACATGTCATATTTTTTATAATTAACTAATTTATCTAAAATTTTTAATTTAATAAAATTAGTTAAATAGGTTTTATATTAAGAAATAGATGAGTACTAACTTATCTTTTGATGGAAAAATAAAAAACAAATAACCAAAGCGAAAATAAAGGTCGGGGATGGGGATTGGATTGGGCCAATTTGGCCCACATGCGGCCTGCAATTGTTGCAAGAGCAGCCCCTCCTCGGCAACGCCGTCGTATCGAGTTTTCTCTTGCAGATCTCCCTTGCGGATTACGAGATTATCCATTATCATCGGAAGCAGAAAGAAGTAAAGAACAGCTTCAAGCCACAGTCGCAGGCTCGCAGTAGCTGGGGAAGCAGGCAAAAATGGCTGCCATGGCTGCTCTTCAGAGCTCCTTCACCTCTCTCTCCCTTTCCTCCAACAGTTTCATGGGGCAACGCCTCTCACCCATCACTCTCTGCCCCGTTCCGGTACGTTACAATACTCTATTCCCAGCCATCTCCCTTTAGTGGAACTCAATCACTTTTTTCCTTTAACTTTCACTCTCGTCAACTATAGCGCTGTTTTCTAGTTATCTTTTGATGGTCTTTCACATTAGGGAGCAGCTATGCTTGTGGTAATTGGTTGTTGCTGCCGATTTCTTTCGGGACTCCCCTTGGGAAATTGTCGATGGCGCAAGGAACTGTGTCTTTCACGAATTATAATGTACCTTGTGTTTCTTGTATGATTAGGGGGGTACGATATTTACATTGTATGCTCTCGTACTCGGTTATCTGAAGATTGGTGAAGCTATCTTTGTTTGTAGTACAACTAGTATTCAAGTTTCAATATTTATGTGTTAGAATACATTGTTATTTTGGTCAAATTAGTATCTCCATTTAAAAGAAAAATTGATGTGTTTGACGTGAATTTGTTATATTAGGGCTCTATATTCCCATTTGTTTCCTGGGTCCTGGACTGCAATTAACAATCCCTGATATAGAGGTTAAGATGAGATAAATTGGTTTTGTTCAGAAAGGATAGAGGATTTTTCATTTCTCGAGGGAAAAGTAAAGCCTAGTACTTTTCCAATTTGGTTTCAGATATCCGTGCATTTTAAATGTAGGAACTGCCAGGAAATGCTTGCTTGTATAGGCCCCAGAAAATTTGGACTTGCAGGAACTGATTGACTACTAATTCATGTTTTCTTGCTGCTACTCTTGATTTCTTATCTCTTTAAGAGAAGAGATGAAAGCATGCGAAAGTTATATGTTTGCAAGTACTGGAAATTGTCAAATACCAATCTGATTACTCAGTAGTTTTAAATTTCATTGTGGCATTCAAAATTATCCCTGAAAAATCTATGTCATTAAAGATCGTAATTAACGTTGCATTCACGCGTAATGCACATCCATGTTCGGAAGACTAATTTGACATCATTTGTATTTTCATGCAGGGCAAGTCAACGGAGAAGCCATGCCTCATTGTGATGCGGGTTAGTTTCAGATTCTCTTCTGTTGGAAAACAGAGTGGAAAGAAAAATTAAGGAAAGTGAAATAGAATGAACATTATTTATGAGATGAGATCTGACAATGGGCTGCTGCAGTTATTAGCTGTTTGTTATTTCTTGGAGGCACTAAAATTATTCCAATACGATAACAAAATATTTTCTAATATCCTCATATGGTGTGTAATATTCCCTGTTTCTCTGCTGACAGCTTAAGCGATGGGAGCGAAAGGAATGTAAACCAAATAGCCTTCCTATATTGCACAAAATGCATGTTAAAGTTGGGGATACAGTGAAAGTAATATCTGGACGTGAAAAGGGTAAAATTGGAGAGATTACTAAGATCTTCAAGCATAACAGCACCGTCATAGTGAAAGACACAAATTTGAAGACAAAGCATATGAAGAGCAGAGAAGAGGGTGAACCAGGGCAAATCATCAAGGTAGTTTCCATCATCCTTGCCTGAAATGATGAAATTAGTGTTCGTTCCCTCTTTTACCTTTGTATATTCTGGAAAGATTGGATGCGCATTTATAGGGCAAATTCAATGCATGGACGATCTTCATTTGCTTAATTTGTTCCCAAGTGTACGTAATAATTATCACCTGAGACTTTGCGGACGTTTAAATCCTCTGATCTGTCGTTTAACTGGGACAGATCTGTCGTTTAACTGGGCTGTCCCAAAGCGTGGCTTAATAAACAAAAGTACCTGCATGAATTTGAATATGAATATATATTATCTTTATGCTAATTCTGGCAAGTATTTTATACTTTTTCCCAGATCGAAGGTCCCATCCACAGCTCAAATGTGATGCTATACTCTAAAGAACAGAACGTGGCGAGTCGCGTGGGCCACAAGATTCTTGAAAATGGACAGAGAGTCCGTTACCTAATAAAAACTGGAGAGATAATTGATAGTGCAGAGAATTGGAAGAAATTGAAGGAGGCGAAACAGAAAAATGAAGAAGCTGCTGCTTCTTAATTTGAGTGGCTGAGTTCATGCCTTCGCCAGTAATGTAACTCTGGATGTACTTACACTGTTTGGTATTTAGTGTATATTTTTGTTCTAAATGTTCATTTCCATATACAAGCAACCTGAGTGGAGATTAATTTGTTTATTATCAGTTGACTTTTTTTTTTTTAATTGACCCTCCTTATGAGAAATTGTTGATGCCTGTACCTCTGAAAAAGATCTTGTGATTCATTATTCATTACTACGGTCAATTGTAAAAGATCTTATGATTGGTTTCCTCTGCTGCTATTATGCACTCCCCATCAAGTTTCTGCAATCCGTACTAAACAGTAATTTTGCTCAAATATGCAGACGTAATGATTAGCCTTGTTAAAAGCGTATCTATTTCTCTAACAAACTTGAAATATGTTCTATTCAGGGGCTGTTTGGGTGAATGTTTAAAGTGCTTTTATGTGAAACTTATTTTACATGCTTACTTTGTATGTTGTAATTTTGTTTTCACCGAAATATTTTTTACATAGAGTTCCATGATTACACTATAAAAAATCTCAGCAAAGCTGCTTCTAACAGTCCACGGAAAAAAGCCGAAAGGTGGTTTTAGTTACAGGCGTGGCTTTGAAGATCATTTATTGATTCGAACATGTTTGAAATAGTTTATAAGTAATTTTTCAATCATAATTTATAAAATACGAGATTAATATGTGAGGTGTTTTGTCTTGACTTATATAAAATATACTTATAAGTGATTTTTAATGCCATCTCAAACAGAGCTTTTACAATTAATATGCTGTGTATGTGTTTAACGTTTAAGCTATTTACATCCTGATCCTCCAAGGCATATCGACGAATGCTAGCGTACAATTCTAAAAGAATCTAACTTTTGTGTGATTTTCCACGTCCAAAAGTGAAAGTCCCTTCCTTCGTATTGACAATATAATTCCTCCTTTTGCGTTTGGTTCGTGTGTGTGTGAGAGGAACAGATCCTGCGTAGTTGCATGAATTCGATTATGCCATCATCAATCATAACTCTCATCTGAATCGCATTAGGGTGAATTCTTGATCTAATGCACGTCTTATATAGAAAGCGCGAAAAAAAGGATGCACCAATCGAAATATTTTTTTCATAAATAATTAACGTTATTTTTTTCTTAAACGAGCAAACATATTATTAATCTTATAGCTATTAACTTATATAAAAAATAATATTTTTCACTTCAAAATATATAAAAAGGAAAAAAACAGAGTGAGAGCTGAAGTATCCAAAAGTGGGGTGGATGCAGAAGACGCGTCCCCATGAGAGCACTAAGAACAGTAGCGGGGGGCATATGACATTTCGGCTGGCGGCTGTGGACCAATAAAATGGGCCTCTGGACTGCGAAAACTATGGCTCAGCACCACCCAATTGGACCTTAAACACTATACCTTGGTGGAGGGCCACCATTAAAACAGAGGGGCCCATTCAAAAACATCAAAAACTTGGGTTTCTGCTTTATTATCATTAACATTATTAATTCCCATACAATGAGTAACTTTGTTCTGATTCCTTGAGATTGAGAACAAGGATTTGTTTTTCAGAAGGGATAAATGTTGTATGAAAATTACCGATGGAAGTAATTGGGGAAATTAGGACTTTAGTCTTTAGGTAACCTACTGCATCATTCCGAGTTTACAATTTCAAGCATGATCAGTATTCTGGTTTAAGATACTTTTTGATTTTTTTTTTTTTCCCAAATCAGAAG